CCCTCTCCCAACCACCTCCTGATGATGCTGCTCTTGCTGCTGCCGATTTTCATTATGCCAAGGTCAAGTCCGCGATCGGGTCTCTCGCCGCGCATTCAGGCGTGGGGAGGGGCCGGAGGGTGTGAAATTGGGGGAATGACTGCTCGCGGATGCCTTGGTCCCGCCCCGCTAGCCAAGGCCACAGCGGCGGCGCCCCGCCTGTGACCTTGACCCTGCGGCGCGTATTGAACAGCACTATATTTAGTCTCGGTGCGCGCTGCGCGGGCCGCAGGGACCGGAGGAGGAGAACCCCGGCCCCGGCCCCGGCCCCTCGCGCGCTCGCGGGCGGCGCCGCCTGGTTGACACTTTGCATATGGGACCCTCTGTTCGACCGTGAAGCGCGCGCCCCGTACGAACCCCCCGCCCCGCCCCGCCCCCGGGCCTGACAGACTGACAGACGGTCCTCATCGACATGCAGGCCGTGCGGCACGCGAGCCACGCGCGGCCCCGCCCCGCGTCACCACAAAATTAAACGGACTCGAATGGGATTTAAATCGCGCGGCCCGCGGCGGCCCGGCCGGACGTTTCCTGCATGCGTCATGGAGCGGAGGGGCTCGATGGTCTCGGCCAGGGTGGTGGAGCGGGAGTTCAGCAGGCAGTGCCCTAGGAATCTGGAATTCTCACCATTTTCCACTGACGTATTTTCAGAATTTAAATTCTAAAAAAAATCGATAATTTTCGATCATGTGTTCTTTTTCATGACAATGCTTATGCGGACAGTAGTGAAAACATTAAAAACTGTTTGAGGAACACAATTAAAATTTGATTTATTATTGTTTTAGTACTCACTTTAAACACTCAGTTTAGCTACGCAATAACCAGATTCATCAAAAAAGTTTGTGCATGGAATTTTTGTAAAGTACAAATTACGTAAGTCTTAAATTTTCTGTGCGCAATTTTTTTTGGTGGATTTTGACTTTCCATATCCAAAACTAATCCTGAAAGTGAGTACTTAAACAATTATAAACCCCTTTTTTGATTTTGTGTCTAAATTTTGATTTTAACCTTTTTGGTCTACTAAATTTGGTATTTATTAAATTTTTAGTAAATACTCTCTCCTTGAGGAGAAATAAGGCGTATAATGACAAGAAAACTAAGCGCCGAGGGCTGGGGAGAATCGATCTCCTATCCTCGGCTTTTCCATAATCATCGTGAAATGTTCTTGACGCTTTCATGACTTTCGTGATTAATTTTGCTCTCGCGGAGTTCCCTGGTATTTCATGTTTAGGGAAAACCTGGGGCCGTGCGGAGGGGGGCTGACGACTTCGAGGCCATCAGGCCGCCTTACCTACTTGCTGCTTCTGCCAGGACTTTTTGATTTAATTATCTGATCTATTTTTCTTGCGTGATTCTTCTTCTTCGTCTGCTACTTTCCCTTCTTCGGGGTATCGACACCGCGGCGGCGGCGGTATAAGAAAAACAAAAACAAAAGGAAAGCAGCATAGCGGTGGGGGAGCGGTAAGAAGCGAGAGGTTGCTCTGCAGGTGATCTGCTTCTACGTGAGGAAGGGCAGCTACAGGTGCTGACGCTCGGGGTGGGGGCGATGAGGAGGCGGAGGGGAGGGGGAGTCCGTGAGGATAAATAGGGGAGAAAAGGCCCCGGCTCGAGAGCAAAAGGGGTGAGGAGTACAAAAAGGGGCGGAGGGGAGTAGGTCGAGGGGAGCGCGCCCGCAAGGTAGGCAACCCTTTTGGCCCGTCTGGACCGGAGGGGATCCCGGCGGGGAGAGCAGCTGAGTTGAAATGGGGGCCAGTAGGGGCGGAGGGGAGGGGGTGGTGCGTGAGGGG